CAATGATGAAGATTGGAGCCATTCAAAGGAGGCAACTTTGGGCCAGTCGAAGAGCAAGGATTGAGGGTATTAGAAGGAGTCAAACATGTCCAGGTTCACCCCAAAGCTCAAAGGGGTAGGAACTCATCAAAAAAGGCAATCCCTTAATGTGTATGATTTTGCCTTCAAAGCTTAGTTAATGGCTTCCCCTTTCCATTTCTATGCTATGACCCCCTCTCCATCTCCTATAAATACACAACACTACAAACATACGCATAAGGACAAACTACATGCACACGTTGCCTCATAAGCCACACTAAAGTTATCAAAAATCTCATAAGTGATGCAAAATTGAAGAAACCTTCAACAAACGCTCCACTCACTCCCTGAAGTTTGCAGGAGGCATTCCCAAGCACTAGGGAGGTCCAACATACACTGGAGCATCACTCATACAATCTATCCGCTGGTAATTTGCTTTCGATCTCAAACTAGTTAAGTATGCAATTTTTAAGTCATGTTAATCATACATTCATGTTATTGCTAATGTTTGTTATTGCTTTCATACGTTACATGCAAGATTAAGCGCATGGGTGAGATCATGCCATTGCTTGGAAACAATCTTTATTTTCTTTCGAATCTCAGGATTCATGACGTTGCAAGATGAAATGGCTTTCGATTCAGACCCAAGGGATTAGAATTAGGATGATACAACCATAGGCTGTCGAATCCAAGACTAGATTCGATCTAAATCTGGATTTTGTTTTGTTTCTCTAATAGATTTTTTTTGCAGATCGAAGGAATATATCATGCACCTTCGACATACTTCCTCATGGGATCGAAAGGAAACTCTAGGCTCCTTTTCGATCCATGCCTGCATGCTACAATTTGCATAGTCTCGTACACCATCCTGCCTTTTTGAATTTTGTTTTGCGTTATTTCCTTTTATTTAGTTTTATTTACTCAGCAAAACATTTATAAAAAAATCACAAAAATTAGGTCTAGTCTTTTATAATTAAAATTAATTCTGTTAACTAATTAATTAATTATTGTAACCTTTTCTTTAATTTAAAACTAAAATAGACTTAGGATTTTAATTAAATCATTTTCCCAAAAATAAAAACAAACAAAAAAGGATTTCCTTTCACTAGGATTTAGACGTTATTTTCAATTCGCGCGTTATTATTCTTTCGCACTTTCTTTTATTATTGTAACTATATATTGGGATGTAATAGATAATTAGAAGGACCTTTACTGCTTTCTTTATTTTTTCCCCAAATTTTTGGACTATGTAATTAATCCCCCTCCCCGAAGCCATGTAATAGTTAGGTTTTATATTTCTGCACTTTTAATTACTGAAATTTTTTAACTGTTAGATATATGGTAATAGGATTGTATGGCAAGAATAAAACAAAACGCTAGCAAACCTAACACAAAAGACAAAAATAACTGAATACAACACACTTGCACATATACACCTCTAGGGTATTCCCACTTTAGTTTCTTTCGGAAAATAAAACAGTCATGTCCCTCGAAAGTAGGGACGCTTTAGCAAAGACCCTCAAATCAAAAGACCATATTCCTTCGATGACCCTTCTGTGTTGCCTTTCGGCAAATGATCTAGTCCCTTAAACAAAATTACTAAAGCGTCTCTATATGTTGCCTTTATGACTATACGATGACCCACGAATTTCTCTCATACATCCAAACGACTATGGCTACCTACTCACTAATAGTAGGCTGGTCTTGTCTAAAGAAAGGGAGGAAAAGAACAAACCTTTCGAGTAAAAGTAGATTGCTGTTAGATGCTTTCTCAAAAAACAAAACTTTCACACTTACACAAAATAGTTTTCAAAAACATTTTCAAATGCTTTATCAACACTCTTGAGGACTGATACAAGTTATCATAAAGCAAATCGCCGCACTAAGGCATTTTCAAAGAAATACTTTTCAAAAACACACAAAGCATAAGGTATTTCAAAAATGAGCTAAGCATCTAAGAGCCAGTAGATAACTACAGATGGAAAGGATGCTAACACCTTCCCTTTCCATAATCTACCCCCTTACTCAAAAATAATCTCGAAAGGTCTTTTTCTGTTCTTTTCACCCTTTTCTTTGTTGGATAAAAGAAAAGTAGGTGGCGACTCTTGCTTACCGCAACATTCACGAATACAAATGCAAAATCAGTATAACAGTCGGTTCTGCCACCGTATCAAATAACTGGCGACTCTGCTGGGGAATTAAAAAGGGGGGTTACCTTAGAGCTTAGGTCATATTTAATTTGCTTTCCTTGTATGCTTTGATTGCTTTATCTTTAAGGGTTTTTCTTGGGTTTACTTGTAAAGATCCTACACCCGAATCTGCGGCACCTTTTAGGTAAGTAGCAATAGATCGTGGGGACTGTGCGGGGTATACCGACACGGTTGAAGCGATAGCTACGTTGGTGTGAGACATTTGTTGGTACCGGTAGCCCTTGAGTAGTCAAGAAGAATACGGGGCCGATGTGCGGCGTCACAAAGCACCAACTGACCTTAGAAATTTTAATTAAACAACTCGGCCATTAGGAAGTAGTGAGATAGCCGACTTTGGTGCAATCCGAAGTTCGTTGATACTTGATACTACACTCATTGAGATCTGACTTCCAGGATATTTCAGTCGCTAATGAAGAGGCTTGCGCTGAAACAATGCCCGGTGAACAAAGATCAGTGATATTGAGATTCCCTAGAACCCAGTTACTTTTCTAAGACAGGTTGAACCAACTAAAACTTCAAGAGGGTATTCACCTACAAACCACATGCAAGCCTGAACTTAAGGCTACTTGTGTGACTTGTTTGCTTTCACTGTCTAACAACTTGAACTCATTGCAGGACTTTATTTGTATTCCTTGCAGGACTTATTTGTGGTCTTTAACCAATAACTTGGATTTCCTGCAAGACATACTTGTCTTCATCACCCTACATTTTTTTTGATGCATAGAATACACATTATAGCATCATACCATAGCATTTCCTTAACCATTTCAAGGATCTCAAGGGCCTGTGATGCAGGTTATGATAAATCATACGTCTAGCAAGGGCAAGGGGATTTATTTTCCTCTAGCCAATGCCGTCAAAATATCCAAGCACGATAACTTGAGTTAGGGGCTATGAACCACTTGATATGGTGAGCTTGATTCTCGTAGAAGGACGATCAACGATACGAAAGTTCTTCAACCAAAGCCGCAATTTGATTCTAATACTTTCCTGTGTTTACCCTGTGAGAGCCTTGAAAACATTGTATCCACACATCATGCATGTCATTACCTAACAGGTCTCCTAATATAGGTTTCTCGTATTCTCGCTGTTTATTTCAGCAACACTACAAGAAAAATGATAGATTGGGACGGTTATTTTGGCTGATTACGACGGTTAAAACCGTCGCAATTTACAATCTACGACGGTAGAAGTACCGTCGCAGAATCGTGCGTCCCCAGCCTATTTCGCGACGGTTGCAAAAACTGTCACGCACAACAGATAGCGACGGTTATATACCGTCGTGAATTTGACTTTATTTTTTGTTTTTGTTGTTGTTTGCGACGGTTATTCTACCGCCGTAGGTTAGAAATTGCGGCGGTTTTAACCGTCGTAATCTGATTCATAAATTTCAAATAATATTTTTATTTAAATTATTATTTAGTAAAATAATTTTAAATATAATATTATTTTACTATAATATTTTACTATTATATTTAAATTATTATTTACTTTAATATTTTTTTATTTATAGTATTTTTATTTTATTTTCTATCACTTTTCAACATAATAAAGTTAATTACAATAAAAACATTTAATATCAAATAATCATCAATAATATCAAAAAAATGTGATCAAAGGTAAAAAGAAGTGCAAATTTTACCAATAAACAAGAAAAATTCAAATATCATCAAAGGCCAAATTTCATTTTAATATTTACATTGGTTTGCTACAACTTGAGAGAATTACAAAAAATGTTACAATATTCTACAAACTTGGTAAATATAGACGATAGAAATGTCTTCATTAGTGCTTGTAAATTCCTGGATTTTAGGAATCAGATTTAAACCTAGACCTTTCTCGACTAAGCTCATTGTGAGAGCTTCAAAAACTTGGTTGATGTTTACTTGCACCATCAGTCTTCTCTATGCCCTTGTGCGAGCTAAATCAATGCCTTCCATTACTCACCAAAGCTCAGCTACAACACTACTACATTTTCCATCACAGTAATCACACAAATTATCTGGAAGATTCAAGTGGTTTAGATATTGGTTGGTTTTGATTCCATTATGATATATCATCCACACAAAAACCCTTATTCTTTTAGTAACACTCAGATTCCAAATGCCTTTCCAATGATCCTCTATATCCTTGTTCTTGGTGGAGGTATTACAAGCATTATATCCAAAAACTTCCGACTGAACATGTTCCTTAAATGGCTTCAATTCCAATTTCCATCATCATTAATTAAGTCTGCAATTGTTGTATTCACATTATCTCCAATAGGCTAATTGATGAGATCTTGGAGTCTGATTCCAGGCCCGATTTAAGAATCTTCCCAAGCCCTGATATCTCCCATTATAAGATCACACAACTTGCTTGGAATGCCAACCTCAACTAGGACCTTATCCATAAAAATCTAACTGATCATGTCATATGCCTTAGCTAAATCTACTTTGATGGCAAAAAAGCTCTTCTTGCTTTAAGCTTGTGCATACTATGGAGAATCTCTTGAGTCACCATTATATTATCATGAATATTCCTCCTAGGAATATAACCTGTTTGATTCAGATAAACAAATCTATCCATACAACTGTTCAATATGTTTATAATGATTTTGCTAAAAACTTTATATATAGAGTTACAAAGGGATATTGGCCTGAAGTGATGAACATATTGAGGGTTATCTACTTTAGGTATTAGGAAAAGATCTGAGCTATTTACCTCTGATATGTTAGCTGACTTGATGCATAACTCCTTGATGAAGGTACACACACTACCACCTACCAAATTTCAAGAGTTTTGATAAAAGCCTACACGGTATCCATCTGGACTTGGAGATTTCCAAGGAGCCATGTCATAAACATCATTCTTTATTTTCTCTTTCAACTCTTCATTCAACTGATCTAATATGCTTTCTTCCATGCTTGGAAAGCCACACTTGGTGTGTATCCAACCTGTAGTATCCACATCAGTTGTCTATAAGTTGAGGTAATTGTCCTTAAACATCTTCTTAATAGTGTCTTTGATTGCCTGCATGAGAATGTGATCATTTAAATGGAAACAACAGTTTGCCTTTGATTGCACAGTTTATATTGTGCTTCAAACTTTATTCAGAAAACCACATCAAAAAGGAAATTAGTGAATAACATCAGTTAACATACCCCGATTTCTGTCACAAACCGGCATGATGAACACCTGACCTGTGAAGCGCCATATGGATACATTAGCAATAGCGTACAACTCCCACACTTAACTTGCCCGACCTGATCAGCTGCAGGGAAGAAATGACCTATGATATAAATAGATTGCCACACAAAACGATAATGCATGCCGTATCATGTTTTTTACACAAGATTATTTGCAGCAGCAAGCACGCAACTACCAATAGCAGGACTGTTCTTCCCATCATGAAATTGTTTATGAAAGTATTTAATCAACCAGGTGCATTAAAGCTGAACTTAAAGTGCAAAGTTTCACAGAAAATACACGTTCAAGATAAAAAGAAGCAAAGAGAAAGTAAACTTGCCTTCAAACACAATGTTGACCGTTTGACAGCATGAACATTTGACATGTTTGGCACCTGATGGATACGAAAGCAGACGTCTACAAGAACCACAAACCATTTGAGCAAAACCTGTTAACACATATTTTCTAGTCAAACTCAACAAATTAATACCCAATTCCGTCCCTTGTCAATTGCAGATTGTTAAAATTCCTCTTTGCAATAGTGCTATAGCACTACTATAACCGCCACATGACAACATTTTGTACTAAATACCGTATCTCAAAACAATGGAGGCCGCGATTTGACAACATTCGTTAAAATTTACTTGTCCAATCATTGAAGAACAAAGACTAGAAATAAAACAATGATCGTGCAGTAGGTGATTAATAACAGTGCATAATTTAGAAAAATACAAATTATATAGTAAAATCCATTAGGGTATCTTTGAATATTGAAAGAGAGTGAAGGGAATAGAAAAACAACAAATTCCAAGCAAAACAAGCATAGCAAAAGTGATTTTACCTAGAAAAGTACTCATTTCCTTTAGTAGACTCTGAATCTTCTGTTCTGGAAAAGTGCAGATCATTGACAATATAAGATCATAAGATTCAGTTATTGGATCATGCTTTTGGTAAAGCTAAATCTAAGTTTGTAAGCAAGTCTAAAGCAATTAGAGATATAAAAGGAAGATAGTCACTATACCTCATCATCAAGGAAGACCAACCTCTAAATCCTGCAGAAACAAGATGATTAATGGTGACATTTTGGTACGTTTCAGGTTCTCTTGATACCAAAATTATAGGCCACCCATCAGTTTGAAGGTTCATGTATAATCTTAAAACAAACATGAGCTTTACATGTTTTGCCTCTTTGACACAGTTGCTAATGCCGTCCCTATGAAACCTGCACCAAAATAATGAAGAATGCCATCAAGTTGGTGGAACTACAAATAATGCTATGAAGTAGCCAGAATTATGCAAGTTAGTGCAACAAGTCACTAATATGTTATCACCTCTGATACGAATTTGGAGGAACAATATCATCTATATCCAACAACACCACATCCAAACCATTGTCTGAAGGTCTCAGATTCTTGAAGTAATCATCGATCATAGACACAATTAAATTCAACTCTTTGGCATAATGCCCTCCTTTGATATAATGTATAGTCAGATCTCTACATATGTTTGGAAGATCATATCTCTCTAACCTATTGATCTCAGCATGCAGAGAATACACCCTGCAATAACTGTAGTAATTATTCATATTCACAAGTTCAATAACTCCAGTACTTTTACTTTGACATGATTGCAGCATAATCACCAAAGAAACCAGCAAAGTAATAAGTAAAACTCCAAGAGTGACAAGGGAAACAACGAAAATTGTTGCTGTAAAAGATGACATGTAGAATCCTGAATCTAGACCATAATGGCTAGATGTATCTGTGAAGACAAAAAGAAAAAAAGTTACTACTTGAAAGTGCTATTAATAGCAGTGTTTTAAAAACCTAACTAGACGGATTAAACCGTGAACCGTCGTGGCATACCGGAATTCCAAGCAAAACAAGCATAGCAAAAGTGATTTTACCTTACAGACAGCAAACATAAAAGTAGCACCGCAACAGAGCCTACAAAACGCAGATATGGTTAAACTCTAAGCCCATTCAACCACAATGTTCATGGGATTTTGGCATTCATAATCAGAAATACATGCCAACTGGTTCTTCTCATTAGGTAACTCATAAACTAGGTGACTTGATAGTTCCTTATATTCTTTGGGATAATTATGAGAATCTGAAGCAAGGTATTTTGATCTTGAGGTTGGTTTAGGAGAGAGCATGACAAAATATGTATGTAGGTTCTTATCATGTTTGAGTGAGGGTGTCTATTCTGGTGAATTTACAGATTGAGGTGGGGTGAGTTTTAGAGACATTCTCATCATACATGAGTTGGAAGAATCTAAGACATTATTAGAGACAAGGTTCAGAGGTATACCTGTGTCATTAACTTTTTCAACTTTTGGTGCAACATGTTCTTCTTCAATAATGGTTTCAAGGGCATGAGAAACAACTTCTTCTGACATGAGAACAACTTCAGCATCTGAAATTCCCTCAGCATCCTTCAGCACAACTTTTGCTATAGTTTTCCCTTCCACTCATTGCATATTTAGAATTGTGTGCCTGAACTGCAGATATCACCACTAATATCAAAAGATGAACATGCTAATAATATAACCGCAGTACATCCAACCAGGTCAGCAAAAGTAAATCCAAATAGAAAGAACTGTGGTGATTAAGATAACTGATAAGAGATGATTCATTGATTTTTGATTCACCTAGTTCAACAAAAGCATTAACAACAGATTTAAACCACCTAGTGTTGGTTGTGTTTGTTCCTCTAATCCTCTAAGCAAGTTTATGTGCAAACATATGCTGGATTTTATTGCAGTATTAAAAGCAAAATAGATAAGTATTTATGTGTTAGTGTATTCTATTCCACAATGCATCAGTATCTAATGCAAAGAACTCATTATGTCGCACGGAAAATAAGTGCCAAAATCCCCCTTGTATGTAGGAAAATATAAAAAGGACTTTACCTTCCCAAGCGCCTTAAGTTCTCGCCCGACGGGTTCCAAAAATTTCAAGTCAACTTCTATAGGCCAGACCTGTTCAAATAAGAAGCCGAGAAGAAAAATATTGAATTGTGCCTCTTTGCCAAAACTAAATATTTCTAAAGAGCACTAACCCAAAAGAGAAACATAAATATTAGAGAAAACCAAAACATAAACTACAAGGGGAAAACATGAAAACACATGATAATAGGAGGAAGAAAGATCAGCATTCATGAACATGGATCACTTCTGAAGTGCAAAACAGGACAAAGATCCTATGCTGCAAAAATGATCATCCATTTCATACGATGTATGCAAAATTTGACGTGACAAGAAAATTTGGACAATAAGTTGTTTCATTGTAACTACTAGCTAAAATAGAAAACAGAAAAATAAAACAATTTGTTAAACTAAATCGGTCACATTCTGAGAAGGAAATGCCACAAATTTGAGATGACAATGAAAAATCAAAATTAATATTAAGGTTACAGACATGTAGTCAGTACTTAACACCATTCCGTTTGCTCAATTAATCGGGAAAAAGTGGTTTAAACATAAACAAAAGAGTATCAAGAGTTATGATATGCAATGCTCAATCATGTCTTTGACCATCTCCATGGTTTTCACATAGGTGCACAGTTAGACTTCCAAATTGCAATGAAAGATTCAAAATATTATCATTGTGCTTCTTTAATCTTCTCAACGCCTCCTTACTAGAACAATGAATCTCAACCAAGTGTCATCAAACATTAACATCAATAATTGATTACAGAGTCCACCATAACAATTCTTCAACAAAAATAAATGTCCAGTTTCCATTTTAAAAGAGCCAAAAGCAATTCTATAAGAGTAAAATTGATTTTGACATGTTTGTTTTCTCAAAAGTGGAATTGATTTTGCTTCCAGAATTGATTCTAGCTGAAGCCAGGTCTTTTAGATTTTGAGTTTAAATGTGATTTTTACATGAAATTTATTGTTCAAGTCACTTTTACATTCAAGTGACTTTACATTCAAACATAAATCACTTTACATTCAACTCACTTTTAATCAAAATCAATTCACTCTGAATCAATTCTGGTCACCCAGAACCAAACACACACTAAATATACCCCAACAGAAAGCACAAGACACACAAGGTAAGAGTTAATTGACATAATTTAAGATAATTTGTGATAGAAAAGTTGAAGGAAGAAGGAAAAAGTACCTTGAGACCAAGTAGTTTAATGGGAGCACTTTGACCAGGTACTAAGCATTCAGGACCAGCTGCTTCCACTATAGCTCCATCACCCAAACCATTCCCTATAGGGTCTGGATGCTGGAAAAACCCAAAAAATTCAAACATAAAAAAGATGGTTTATGATTACGAAATGCAACAAAAAAGAAATAGAGTAGGAGAAAAAGAGAAACCCTCATGATGGAAATTGCATAATCGGAGAGAGGTGTGTGAGAAACGCGAAGAATAGGAGAGTGGTGAATTTTGGGTAATGGTTTCAGTGAAGATGATGAAACTCGCCATGGCACGTCGTCTTGAAAGGAAGTGTTCTTCGACATTATCTATTTTTCTACGCACTTCACAACTAACACATGTCATAGATGAAAGTAAGAGTGGCCGAAGATATCATCCAAGTTTTGGGTTTTTTTTTTTTTTTTTTGGATTTAGCCGACCAATTGAACCGATTTCGTGGTTTAAAACAACAATTTACTCGACAAGCTTTCTTATAAAGAGTATTATTACAGAAGAAGAATTAACAGAGGGGGGGCTGAAGACAGAAAGGGGTCGATTACAATGAAGAAGAAAATCGAAAAAACGGACGAGAATACAGAGACAGAGGGAGAGAAAACAGAGAACTTGAAGAACGCGAAGAAGGAGATACCAGCGTTGTCGTTGAAGACGAAAAGAGAAAGAGCAATTAGGATTTAAACATCTAAAACCCTAATTGCTAATCACCGTAGCTTCGCCGCCGCTATTCCATTCGAACTCGCCAGAATCTACAAAGCAAGAGAGAAAGAAGATCAGAACAAATCGGACAGAAAGTCATAAAGCAATCGCGAAAGGGGTAAGATCTTTAGCTTTTTGTTTGTTTTTGGTGGTTGGGTTTTGATTGAGGGAGAACTGGGTTTGAAGGTTGGGGGGTGAGAGGCTGCGCGGGAGAGAGATGAAGGGTTCACTGTAAAAATAAAATTGTAACAAGAATAATGAAATGAATAAGAGCTTTTTAAGAGCTTTTTAACTTTTTTATGGCGACGGGTGTTTTACCGTCGTGCCCATGAGAATTTTTAAAGGTTTTGGGTGCGACGATTGTTTTACCGTCGTGAAATGAATTTTAGGACGGATAATTTTACCGTCGTGAAAGGTTTAAAGGTGCGACGGGTGCTTTACCGTCGTGATATGCCTTTTAGGACGGTTAATTTTACCGTCGTGACTAGTTGTTGGTGAAAAATCAATGTTAAAAGTGTTAAATGGGGGCCGACGGTTGTTTTACCGTCGTAATAATAATATTATGATGGTTAAATATACCGTCGCAAAATAAATATTAGGGACGGTTGGTGTCAACTGTCGTAAACACTGTCTCTATATGTCAATTACGACAGTTATCACATAACTGTCGCAATTTTTGTGTCGTTAAACACTAATTTTCTTGTAGTGCAAGGAAATGGCTCTCAAACAGAACAACAGAGATCTCCAAACTCAAGATGCCCAGTTCAAGGAAATTCTCTTAAACCTATCCAAGGGGAAAGAGGAATTGAAAGCACTCCTCGCTGGGAACTTGACCAAGAAACATCCTGACAAAAACAAAGATGACCAGTTGGAACAACTGCAGGATGAGGTGGGAAAGATGAAAATCCAGATGAGTAGTCAGATGGCTCTTATCTAAAATTTATCTCGGGGACAGGAAGAGTTGAGGATTCACATCATTAAGCTTCATCAAGACGAATGTAACCATATGGAGCAAACAGTCGAGGCTGGGGATCAAGTTATTAATCAGTCCCTGATGAGGCAAGAAGTTGGCTTGGTGGAGAGTAGAGCTTTCAAAATTGTTGTTACGTCACAACCTCGACAACAATGACAGGGTAATTAACTTAAGCGGAATACATCTAAAAGACGCTTTACTGAAATCAACATGTCATTGTCTCAATCAGTGCAACGCGTGTTAGAGGCCAAGCTGGTTACGTTGAAGGATCCTCCCCAGAATCCCAACACTGCTTCCCCAATGTAAAATCCAAGTGCACGGTGTGCGTACCATTCCAACAGTCCTGGACATAAAACTAATAGCTGTTGGACGTTGATAAATAAGATTCAAGACTTGATCGACGAAGGAGTGCTGGAGTTTACACAAGATGGTCAAGCTGAATTCTTCTGCCATCCCTCCAAGGCACACCATCTGAAGTGACAAGTTCAGACAAAGAGGCTTTTCGTTCATTTGAATTCTCAATTTGTAATTTTCTTTTGATTGTTCGAGCATTTATTAATGTCAAACTTTGTTATTTCATCAATGCATTGCATATGTTTGTCTTGAATTATTTCATTCGTGTCCACTATATTCAAACTGTGTTTTTAATTCCTTTTTGTGATATTCAACTCTCGATTGGAAGCTGTAAGCCTTTAGAGGGAGGATGACAAAATCGATACCATAATCTCATATAGTATGCTTTTGAATAGACCTTGCTGACGATGTACATGTGTTGTTTCAAATCCTAAACATTGGAGTTATAAGGAAGATAATCCCTAGTCAACCCCTTTGAGCCCGAGAAGTAGGATTTTTTCTTTTCACACAAACTAAAGCCCTTAATCATAACCTGGGGTAGGGTAGTTCTCTCAGTTAATTCAGATGTGCATTCAGTCGCAAGCTATACTTTCATACACAACAAATAGTGTAGAAGATGCCTTCCAAAAGATGGTGATGGTTCCACATAATCGTCAAGATAGGAAGTCATTATCTCTCAAAAGAAAAGCCCGCTAAGTCAAAACCTGTAAGGGAGACTTAAGGAAAAAAACAGGGGCATCCTGCTGACTGTAGTCGCAAAAGAAACAGTTCAGGCAAAAATAGGGATAAAAAAAAGAGGTCCTACAAATCCTCAACAAAAAAGAAAAGGTTACCAAAATGACTGCCTTCTCGAACAAACATTCAATTTCTGAACCATCACCAAGTATCAGAACAAAGATTCCAGACTCAATTGGGATCTAAATACACAGTTAGCTGAGCATAGGATTGAAGAACATCAAGAAGAACGGGTTGGGTACAAATAAAATTTGAGCCTTTATCCTTTGTTTCTTAAACCGTGAACCAGGCCACGTTATAACCCTTAAAAGTCCTAGCTGGAGCATGGGTTAGTTCGAAAGCATACTATTACAAAAGGTATCCTGACTCCTGTAAGGTTTGCTATAAATCCTGAGTTGATATCACACTCTTACAAAATTTGTTTGTTTTACTAAAAAAATGAATTTTCAAACTTCAAGACAGACATAAGCTTTGCATTCCTTAAATACCATTGTTTGCATATGACTAATTGTTCAACAACAGAGAAATTTGCACGACGAATATTCAATGAACGAAAATCCTCTCAATGAAAAAAATCACCTTAGATGGAAAGACATTTCTAATAATAAGCCTTTCATAATCAAGGGGAATAGCATGGTGTCCAGCTGATCTGGGGCAGTCAAGTCAATATTTGGGGAATCTCTCAAAAGTTCCAAATAGCTAGGGGCAGATCTCCATCTGAATCACTTAGGGCATTGGAAATGAATTCCAGCAAAGAATGACGTACACTCAAGAAAACATCTTTTGGGAGTGTGGCAACACTTACTACTATGGACAGTGATAATTCTTTGCACCCGACGAACATGGACATAGTCGGAAAATACTACGCATAAGCAAATACCCGCTAGGTCGACTGGCCTAGGAAAAAAGAAGGGCATCCCGGCGAACCAAAAGGGTTCGGGAAAAATTAGGGATATACATATGAAAAATCGGTACACCCGGCAAGTCGAAAACCTGAAAAGGTGGCTTGGGCAAAAAAGGGTATCCCGATGGACTAAAAATCTGAAAGGATAGTCCAGGAAAAAGTTAGGGATTAAATCGTATGACCATGTCCCGTCATCTCGTCACTTGTCTACCAGTAGAGTGCTGGCCACCCTGATCAGCATTCAATAAGGACTCCAGGAGTTGGGATAACAGTCAAGCCATTCACAAAATCCCAGCAGATATTTTCTTCAGCATGTATAGAGGGAGGGGCATCCTACTATAAAGTCACAACCATATTCTCAGCATACAGCCTAATGAGGTCAGGTGTTCTTATATCCTCGGCAGAGCAAAAATCTCCAATTACTACTCCAAAAAAATCCCCCAGTGAAGTCGCCAAGCTTCGCAGGATTCCCCAAAAGAATTTCACAAAATCCCCGAACAGTGCACAGAGTTTTCCTTCCCCAACAACAGAAGTCTATCTCCCAGCATTTAACTTCAACATATGTGAAGACCTACATTCTTCATCCCCAGCAACAATCAGGGATTTACTTTCCCTAATTCAACAACACTGTAATAGAATGACTGACACGTTCATACTTTGCAGTTATACATCATTCTACAAACATCATAGCATATGCGGCACAAATACATATATCACAATCTCATTTATTTTGAGAGCATCATGCAATTCATACATCATGACATAACATGAAACTGGTTTTACCTTTTCAGGTTAAATTAGCAGACAGACAAACACTATCAACTTATAGGTCAAAGATTAATACCAGAAACCAAACAAGAAAACTATCTACATGAGCAGATTGAAGATTAATACCTGTAACAATCCAGGAAAACTATCTTTATTTCTAAGGTCATAGATTAATACCTGAAACCAGCCAGGACAACTATCTCAACGACCGACAAAAATAAGTTCCAGATTAATACTTGTAACAAGCCAATACAACTATCTGCAGATGACCGATTATAGATTAATACCTATAACAAGCCAGGAAAACTATCTACATGAGCATATTGAATATTGATACCTGTAATAAGCCAGGAAAACTATCTTTCTTTCTAAGGTCAGAGATTAATACTTGAAACCAACCAGGACAACTATCTCAACAACCGACAAAAATAAGTTCTAGATTAATACCTGTAACAAGCCAGGACAACTATCTGTGGACGACCGATTGTAGATTAATACCTGTAACAAGCCAGGAAAACTATCTACAAGAGCAGATTGAAGATTAATACATGTAACAAGCCAGGAAAACTATCTTTCTTTCTAAGGTCAAAGATTAATACCTGAAACCAGCCAGGACAACTATCTCAACGACCGACAAAAATAAGTTCCAGAGTAATACCTGTAACAAGCCAGGACAACTATCTGTGGACGACCAATTGTAGATTAATACCTGTAACAAGCCAGGAAAACTATCTACATGAGAAGATTGAAGATTAATACATGTAACAAGCCAGGAAAACTATCTTTCTTCTAAGGTCAAAGATTAATACCTGAAACCAGCCAGGACAAATATCTCAACGACCCACAAAAATAAGTTCCAAATTAATACCTGTAACAAG